GATTGTTTCAGTTGAGATATATGAATAACTTCATGCATATTTTTTATATATATTATGAATTGATTTTTAGCAGTAGGTTATAACCTACTGGGTTATGTGCTTATTCTGTGATTATTTTCATATTTTCAGGTCATGATAGGAATCTAGTGGAGTGAGGCTAATTAGGATCTCAGGATTAGATGTTTTATATATTTTCTTCTTTGCATTTTTTTGTAGTCATGAATTTCAAATAGATAATTAAATTGTTAGACATCATGACTATTGTATATAACAATTTTTGGCTTATGTCAACTATATGGATTTTTAATAATGTAATTATATTTTTTGCTACTTATTTCAGCTAGAAGGAATTAATAAGCTAAAGTTGATGGAAGATAAAAAAGATACTAATTTTTCCAATTTAGATATTAGGGTATAACAAAATAGTATCAGAGCAATGTTATTGGAAGAATTTGATTGTAACCAGAGCTATAAAATTGTTTATGAGCGAGGTAGAGATGAGTAGTATATAATTTATTATTTTGCATATTTGATTAGCTACATATGTATGTATGTTGAATACATATATTTACTTGGTTAGGAGGAGAACTTTACTAGTGAATAAGAATGGCATTGCATGATGTAAGATAGATTTCTTCATTGACCATGTGTGATTTGATTTCAAGCATGAATGATTGATTGATATGATTAATGGATTAATATTAATAATTTGTTATAAATGTCTTATTCGTGAGTGAATTAGTGGTGAGAAATATAGAGGATGATATTTTTCTTAAGCTCAGTAAAATGTAATAACAAAATTTATAAAAAATTAAAATAAACTAATTTTAAAATTTTGTGAAATTTTCTTTAAAATGCTACGACATTGTGCTAACGAATGATGGGGCACTAGATGGAAGTGTGGGGGTGATGTGTTATCTGTTCTACAACAACAAGGATTTCTACATGCAGTGTTGTGATCGGTAGGAAAATGGCATTAAGCCCTTGCCACTTCACTATCCTCAACCACCCTGTCACGACCCGACCCGACGGGGACGGATCCCGCCCGAGCCGGATCGCGACGAGAGACCTTTCTTAACCAGGATCCTTCAACCTGTTGGGGAAAAGCGGAGAGGAAGGGAGAGAAAGTCTTTCAAGGTATTTCTATCCATCAAATCTATTATGAAATTCCATTTGATCATGAAAGGTAGCATTAATCTTAGTTATGCTTTCAATAATATTGATTTCCTATATTTTTTTCTCTTATAAATCTGCCAAAATGTCATTATTTCATGATTTAAGAAACTTTCATCTTGTAGTTTCTTATATGTTCTAAATATAAACTTTTTGAACATTTTCATATGATCATGCTGAATATAATAGGTCAGAATGACATATATGATTTTATGTGTGAAATTTATAAAGATTAGACAAGCATAAATCAATAGAAAGGCATTTTTTTACATATATGACATGCATGAGCTATGGGGAATTTTTTTATTTAGACGTGCAACTATACATGTTATGATAATGAATTCATTTGCATCAAGTAATAAATACCAAATAAGTATGAAAATATGCATTGGAATATAAATGTGTAAACAATTGTAGATTGGTTAGGCATTAACTGATAATATACCCAACCTAAGATATAAGATATGGGAACTATAAGTGCACAAGATTGGAGCAATATTCTAAGAGAGTTATAAGTGTTCAAGATTGGAGTAAAATACCCACAAGAATTCCAGCTAATGGTCAGGAGTCTATAAACATTTATAACATATAATGAAACAAGATATGAATTTATATGAAATGCATACATGGATATCATGCATATATTGATATAATGATAAGATCAACAAGATAAAAGACAAAGTTATTTTATATAATAAGTAATAATAAATTTAGAAGTCATGATACATCACATATTTATGATTTTTTACTCTTATTCACATGATTATGTTAATTGAAAATTATGAATGACTTTATGCATATTGTTTATGTATATCATGCATTACTTTTTCACTAGTAGGTTCTAGTAATCTACTGAGCTATGTGTTTATTCTATGATTATTTTCATGTTTTTAGGTCGAGATAGGAATCCAGTGGAGTGATATTGATTAGGATCTTAGGGTTAGATTTTTTTTTTTCCATATTTTCTGCTTTTCTCATTTTATAGTTATGATTTTTGAATGGATAATTAAAATTGTTAGATATTATGACTATTTTATATAATAGATTTTGGCTTATATAAAATATGTGGATATTTGGATGAGTAGTGATGTAATTATATTTTCTATTATTATATTATCTAGATAAAATTAGTAAGTTCTAGTTGATGATTAAGAATATATATATATATATATATATATATATATACAAATCTTTCCAATTTCGATCTTTGGGCATGACAGGAAACCTCTTGTTCACCACTCTTCTATTTTTTTGGAAGTGGTTTGCTAAGGTGGTTATATGCATTCAAATTAATTTCTCTTATAAGATCATCCTGAAATCTACTTTTTACTAATTTTGGAATCCCTAGTGTGGTGGCAAAACAATCACATTTTTGCTTGGTAACTCTCCTTTTCACCCCAATATCCCCCCAGGCTCCCTTGTTTCAACAATCATCCAAGATAATTGTTGGAAGATTTCTCTTGCTCTCTCTCAGACAACTTGGAATGTTATCTTAGCCTTGGATATTATTATAGATAGCTTGAATTTTATTGCATGGAAGGACTTAGATCACCCCACCTTTAAAGTATTCATTAATGAATTTTATAATGGTTATCAACCAATCTCGTGGCATGCTTACATTTGTGACACAAATTATTCACTTTGGTTTTCTACCTATGTATGGTTGGCCTTAGCAATCTATAAAATAACAGATTCTCTGATTAGGCATAACATCCGTGCTCAACTCCTTTATTTTTTTAATGAGTTTATCGAAATCACCTCCCATCTATTTTTTTTTTAATGTTAGCACACTTTTGACATTATTTCATACCTCCTCCCTTAGGCAGGTTGTTTTCTTTTAAGGCTAAACCTGCTGCAATTACTTTCTTACATCTCTAAAATGGCTAACCTTAGCAGTATTATGAAAAATAATTACTTGTTGCGGGCTAGAATATACGCGGCGATAGAGTTAGAATTTTTCATCTCAGCATTGTATGGATATTCAGCACATGAATAGAAGAACAATAAAACACCAGAATTTTTACGTGGAAAACATTGGAAAGGGGAAAAACTACGGGGCCTTGCCCAGTTGAAAAGATTCCACCTATGTTTGATTGGAGTACAAATGACTGATTTGTCTTTAAAACTTAGGATAATCATATTACAATAATCAATTCTCCGGTTGAAATGCAATTATAAACAAGGATCGGAGATCCCTGTGGTCAGGCTGAATTCCGGAGTCACTTGGAGGCCAAATATAATTCTGGTGTCGCTTGGAGATTGGGCAGAATTCTGGCATCACTTGGAAGTCGGGCATAATTCTGGCATCACTTGGAGTTCGGGTGGAACTCCAACGCCACTCGAAGGTCGGACGAAAATCCGGCGTCACTTGGAGGTCGGACGAAACACCGGCATCACTTGGAGTTTGGGTGGAACTCCAGCATCACTTGGAGGACTGACGGAACTCCAGCATCACTTGGAAGTCGGGCAGAACTTCGGCGTCAGTGGTCGAGGAGGAACTTCTTCCCTCTCTTCCTTCTCTTCCTTTTCTTCATTCTCTTCTCTTCTTCTTATTCTTGCTTCTCCCCTCTTAAGAGAAATGAGGGGTTATTTATAGTTTTCTGAGAGTGTCATGACCAGTAAATAGGAGGAAGATCAGGGAAAAGTTGGGAGTGATTTGAATGGACGGCCGATGTTGAATCCCTTGATTGTGGACCGTTTATCATGTATTTAAAGGCTCTAATGATATCAGAATTCAATGATCTTGGGCTCATTGGATTTGTCTCATCGAGTCGCTTGATTCGATTATAAACATGCCATATTTGGAAACTGCTTGGTAATCCAAAATATGGATTAAATCTTCCAAATGCGCTTCTGGGCTTTGATTTGGACTAGTTTGGGCTCGGATTGAGTTGAATTTGGTGTTGTTGGGTTCACATTTTCGAGACGCTCAGTTCGACTGTAAGTTTGTTAAAATCAGAGTTCAGATGGTCCCAGATTTAATTTATGAATCTTCCAACTTGATTTTGTCTCTAGATTCATGCCTGACCAAGATAATTTTTTGATGATATATCACTACTATTTGCTGATTAAATGTTCTTTATACTACACTTGGAGAGAAAGGAATGCAAGGTGCTTTGGTGACACTATTGATAGCTCTTCTACTAATTGTGCCAAAATTAAAAAAATATATATATAGACCAAAAAACCTCATCATGAATGAATTTGATATCATCAAGCAATCTTAGTCATTTTGGTTTTTGGCTTTATTTTCTTTGACGACTCATACTTCATTTACTAAACGATAACTTTGTATCACCTGAGGATTTTTTCTATCTTTTACCAAGGAGACATCCTTCTTTGCTGGATTGGTGTTGTTTCAGTTCAAATGATTATGAATACCTTGATTGCTTAGGCTGTTACTCACATCCAATGTTACGTTGGACAATGATGAATGAACGCACTTAATTCTACCTCCCTTAGTTGGATGGTATTTGTGGCAACTAAGGAAATGATTGCCTTATGATTTCTAGATGTTTTTGCACATTTTAGTTGTGCAAACCTCAACCCTTCTTGCTTATATTTGTTAGTATTGCTAAATTTTTGTTGTAACTCAACTTGTCACATCTCTTCTCTATCTTGAGTTCTAATTTTTTATTTTTATTAACTTTATTATAAGTAATTTTTATAGTAAATAAAATTATACTGTGCCCCTAATATATATATTCAGAATCTCTTAACCCCACCAATCATAGACACAAATACCTCAAAATTAGTGATGTCGAGAGTAGGCCATCTAGTAGCGACGTTTTAATATTTTTAATACTAATAAAAATATTTTTTATTTTTATAAATATCTCAATAATGCGAAACCCACGTTTGGCATTTTCTGTAAGCATTTCTTTTACCACTCCCAATTCTACTGCTCGTCGTGCTTCTTCCCGGTCTCAAGCATTCATCGGGCCAAGGTAAAGCCCTATCTGACACCCTAATGTGTGTTCTGCGAATTCCTAACGCTGTAATGAAGATTGAAGTCCAAGCGAGGAGAAATCTCACTGACTTTTTCAGTTTTTGTGTACTTAGTATACTTCTTCTGATGAACAATTCAAGCACTGATGTTTCAGATTTGGGGATTTTTCGTCGATCTAATCTTTTTTTTGGTTTTCCGGTTTTTCTGGGACAGATTAGCTACTTTGGTGACCCATGAGGAAGTTTCTGTTGTTTGTTATTTTTAACAACATATGAAAGTGATTTTGGGTTGCATACCCTTATTTAGTTTCTCTTATGTCTGGTTTTCATGTTGCTTCATAGAAGAACTATGCTGCATTATTCATTCATGGCAGTCTCTTCTGGTTTCATTTTGTAAGTTTGCTATTTGATGATGCTAATTTAATTCGTCTATTTTTAACTTGCAAAGTAACGGCTGCTTTGCTATTAATACATATTAAGGTTTGTTTCCAGTTTTTTTTTTTTCCCTCATCCAGTTTTGGAATTCACTTGATCGCCTTTTCTTCATGATTATGCGAACCTAACTGATGACGAAGTATACTTAACAAGTGGCTTGCTTGATGGAATCACTTGACTTTCTATTTTGATGAAAAGCCTATTTTTGATCACCCAACTAATATCACCTAATGGTTGGCCGGTTAAGCTTGACTTTCTAGCAATATAGTAATAATCCCAAATTTGTTTATACAAAGTATAGAAATCTAACTCATATATTTTAGTGATTGAAAATAGAACACAATACCCGTTTATAGATTGAGTTCTATATGGAGCGAGTGAATATTTATTTGTTAAAGATCACGGGCCAACCTCAAATCTGTGATCACCACCCTGAGGATGATGGAGCATACCGCATGACCTAGAACTGTTTGTTATAAGTAGAAGTGATACTTTTTGTGAGGGCCATTACAAGTTGTATGTCTCTTCTACAAATTTAATAAAATATTTATAAAAAATTGGTCAAATTATATCACAGAATTGGTTTTAGATTGTAGATCAGCATCAATAATCTTGATCTATCATTTGAAGGTGGGAAAATAAAAAACTATGTGGAGAACAAAATTTTCCAAATTAAAGGATAATACTCTCTCTCTCTCTCTCTCTCTCTCTCTTTCTCTCTCTTGCTCTCTCTTTGTGTGTGCCTCAAATCTATTTTCAATATTTTCTAACTTTTTTTTCATTATATTTTTTAGCTTTCTAGAAAAGAAATAATTAGAATGATCATTTTTCTTTAGCATTATATATTCTATTAGTAGGATTTATGTATTATTGTTTATTTACTTTAGGGATAGATAAGCCATGTATTTCATTATTCTATTATGATGCATAATGCATAAATTTTGAAAAGAAAGCTCATTTTTCCTCTCTTAAATTCCTTGTTCTCCATCCTTTCTTGTCTTTCTCTTCCTCCTCCATGATACTATTTCTTTCTCCTGTTCATCCACAATTATCAAGAATTTATCTCCTTTTCTTGGCATGAGTCTAGGGTTAAACTATTTCACCTATTAGATATTATGATGATTGCACTTTTAAGGATTGTGATGATTTGAGTACTGCAGACATATTAGATGGTGATTTTGATAATCAATTATCACTTATCAATAATCAAGCCTCTTGGTGAGCTTGAACATAAGATAAAGATAGAGATTATGGTTCAGCATAAATCCTATATCATGCCTAACCTTATTGCTAGTTCTGATCCTAAAATATCTTATGGAACTATTATTATTCAAAAGTAACTTGATAATTGTGATGAAGAAATAGATTGATCTGGAAAAATTGTATGATTATCATACTAATTTTAAAATGTAGTTTGTTCCTTAGTTCCAAAATATTTTTAGGTTCTTCCCCAAATCTACATGTTGAGTTTATATTTACACTGCTACCACCACGATAGGACTTCAGGATCCTTTTTCATGTTATGGATCAAATAAAGCATTATGCATGCTGACTTCTAAATCAAAAGCCTTCATACACTCTTTAATGTGTTCATTTTATACATATTGAAGATCCAAGAGACACCCATTAGCCAGTCCCACTGCCATGCCGTCCATGGAAGCCATATTTTCAAGTAAATGCTCTTGCATGACTTTTCATAGGAATAGTTCTATCAGTCTCCAATGGGCTTAATGTAGTACATGACAAGTATCTGTGGGTCTCCGAAAGGATGCTACTCATGGGGATTAGAATGCAAAGAGTAAGATCGCACTCAAGGTTTATAATTGCGCAATTGGATATTGAGACGTTTTGTTCGTGAGGTGAGTCGTAAGCCTTAAGGCATTATGAGGCATAAGTCTCAAAATCAAAAATTGAATTAAGTCAAAATAAATGTTAAAAATGATTTTTTATATAATACCCAAATAATATATTAAAGGATGACATGTTACATTTATCTATTGAATTTTGAAGTAACAAATTGACATACATATGAAATAAAAAATTGCACAAGACATAAAGTTACAAGTGATAAATTATATGAAATAGAATTAAAATTCAAATATTATAAGAGGGAAAAAATATTAAATATCCTATGAAGGATCGACACCACTAGAACTCAATTCTACGAAGGATCGACACAAATTAATCCACATGAATTTGAAACATGAAAATTTTTAATTAAAAGTGTAGATATGTTGAGCCTATGTCGGGGTCCAAGGGGGCACTGCCCCCTGGCGGGGTTCGGCCTGCCAGTTTTATTGTAACAGTTGCTTTAAAGTTTTCTCTACTTTCTCGGTACTGCTTGGTATCATTCGGTACCCCTCTGTACCGAGCAGTACCGAGCGATATCGAGTTCCAGTACCGAGCAGTATTGAGTTCCAATATCGCTCAGTACCGAGCGGTACCGAGCAGTACCGAGCGGTACCGAGCAGTACCGAGCGGTCTGCGGTACCGAGTACCGAGCGGTACCGAGTACCGAGCGGTACCGAGTACCGAGCGGTACCGAGTACCGAGCGGTACCGAGTACCGAGCGGTACCGAGTACCGAGCGGTACCGAGTACCGAGCGGTACCTAGTACCGAGCGGTATCGAGTTTGGTATCATTCGGTACCCCTCTGTACCGAGCAGTACCGAGCGATACCGAGTTCCAGTACCGAGCAGTATTGAGTTCCAATGTTGCTCCGTACCAAGTGGTACCGAGCAGTACCGAGCGGTTTGCGGTACCGAGCAGTCTGCGGTACCGAGTATCGAGCGGTACCCAGTACCGAGCGGTATCGAGCAGTACCAAGCGGTACCAAGAAATACCGAGCGTATCCGTATCCGACACGTGTCCGATACAACATGCCTCGTAAATAGGAGTATTCGTGCAACATAGGTAGCCACTGTAAGGTGGACTAGATTTGAAATATTAGTGATATTTTAAAGATTGACCTGAGAGTGGTCATGCATTAATTTTAAAAAGTTGGTTAATTTTAGACCTTATATATATTTTATATTTCTTAAAAAAAATATCTTTATAAAAAAATTAAATTCCTAAGAGCCTAACATTAACTCTATCTAGGCCACCTCCAAGCAAAACAAAGAAAGAAATCTAGGAAAAATCATGCAGCTCTAGTGCACAATCAATGTAAATGCTCCAATCATCATAGAATATATAATAAATGAAAGGTTAGAAATGCAGTTTGGTTCTGCAATACATCCCAAGAAAAAGAAAAATGATAGCTAAGCTCTACCATAATTACAGCTTAACCTAAAACTATACAAAAATGAAATTGTATGTAGGGTCTTGATCGATCTTCACCTGTTTGGCCTTATGCCTTCTGAAATATCCACACACCTACATGACTTTCTTAACTGAAATTACATGTGGAAAAAAATTATATGAGCTCCCTACAAAATAGATGTTAGCACAAATATAATAAAACTATCATATATACATCTAGACCTAGTCCTTAAGACCACATTCCCAAAGACTTAGCAATCCTCACAGTACCTGCTAGAGAGTCCATTTATAATTATGATCATTGCATTTTAATTAGCCTTTTAGAAACGTGACCACCTGCAGACTATATTTCTATAAAGACTCTAACCATTTAATGGCAAGTGCCCACTTATCAAGCCATAAAATAGAAAAATAAAACAATCATAAATAATACAAACCATAAATACATCATCACATCATCACAAATATAAATTATAAAAGAAAGGAAGTGACAAATGTTATCGTAGCTACACCCTACCTTTGGATGCCCATAAAAAATGTTATATCTAGCACCTAAGTGTGTGCAAAATTAGTATTACCTAACTACCGTAATTTAGGTGAAAGGTCATGTTGAAAGGTCAAGTTCATATTGTTTAATTTATTAGCCCAAGAATTTCTCTTTAAATGATTAGCCATTGAGGATAGATTAATTACAACTTAATTTTATAGTTATGATTTTAATCATTAGGTTATGAAGAATTCAAATACATGTGCCCTCTCCTATGCTAGAGTTATAAATAATTGAGAGACAAATGGTCCATCCTCAATCATACACCTAACTAGGGCTAGAGTGGTTATAAGGCTACAAGGGTGGCTAGAGCCCCCTTGGTTTCCTAAAACTCTACGTAATGCCAATAGGTGACACAATAAAGTGGGCCAATTGCCCCTACAAAAAAAATCTTAGGCTTCCTATGTCTAAGGTTGATCAATTTCAAATGCTAACATAGGAATGAAAAACTCACTACCTAAAGATATATGAAGGTTCTACCTTACTTAAGATTTGACACTTGCATGGTTAAGGAGTTGAATCAAACTCCTAAGGATAGCTTCTTATTTTTAAAGGGGACAATTTATACAGATCTCTAGACCCTTCTCCCTTAAATTGTGAGATACATGGCATTGTCACAACAAGCACGAGAACCAAGGCCTTCTTAGGGCACGTAGCACTGCAGTTTGAGGTAGTCTAGCGTATATACCCCGTATATATTAAAGAAGAGAGTACAAAGATAGACACAAATCCAATATAGATTAAAGCACTAGAGTATGTCTTAAAGTTTATTTGCTTCTCCAACATATTCATTTTATTTGAGTTTAAATTTTAGTATCATGGTGTTTTACTTAACTACTGAAGAGTTTGTGAAAGAGAAATTTATTATTTGTTTTAGTTTTATCTTAATTAATGTAAACTTTTTGTTCATGATCGTGTTAGGAGTTTATAAAAAATTATTTCATATTTTTCTGAATTTTATTTGATTTGTTATGATTTTTTAAAGTTCTAGTTCAATTAAGTGATTTAATTAATTTGGAGCTCAAGATAAGTTGTTAATCGAAGTATTCATTTAGTTTATTGTTTGCTATGATTTTATAGGATTATAAAAATTTGTTTGGAATTTTTTATTGGATTCTTATAATTTTCTTCGTCAATCGGTTTGTGTTGTTGTCATAACGGGCACGAGGACCAAGGCCTCCTTAAGACATGTAGCTCCATAGCTGGAGGTAATCTAGCCTATAAACTTCATTGGTGGAGTTTGTTATTGATTTATTAATTTGATTATGTTGTTAATTTGGATGGTTAATTTATTTTAATTAATTAGTTAATTATTGATTTATCATTAATTATTTATGTTAAATTATAATTTCCGTTGTTTACACTAGGACTGTGAGTTTTATTTCATCCTCATTGAGACTACTTAATAGCCTCGTAAGTTCGGATTACCCAACAATTATCTTTTTTATTTTAAGTTTGAATTAGCTTTTTAATTTAGATTAATTTAATTGGTTAATTAAAGATTTATTAAGTAATTATTTAAGTTAGGTGGTAATTGTCTTTGTTTAAGGGTTGTGAGATTTATTTCATTATTATTGAGGCTAATTTAATAGCATTAGAAGCCCGGATTATCCAACAATCACCTCGTTGTTTAATTACTCTTATTTGTTATTTAACGGGTTTTGATTTGTGATTATTGCTTTAATCGATTCGTTATTGATTTTAGGATTGGTTATGAGCTCATTAATTACATTTTACCAATTGGTTTAGTTAGTTTGATTTTTAATAGTTCGCCTTATTTATTATTTTCATCAAATGAAATTCAAACAAGGGTTCTACACTAGGTTCAAATAACAAAACTAAACTTATTACGTACAAGAAAACATACAACATAAGACTAATACAGAGATCAACCTAACAAGCTAGATCTCAAATTTTATTTTATTTTTTATATTACTAGCATGTTTATAGAAAATAACATTTAAATGCTAAAAAATCATTAAGAGGGGATTTTGAAATCTATTTAAATATTTTAAAATCCTAAAGAAAACCGTCCTAGCGAGGCCCGCTTTGTACGATAAAATATCAATGCACATGGCTCAAGTAGATGGCCTACACTTCAGGCCTAGGTGACCTTGAAGGTCTCTAAGATTCATAAAGTGGACAAGACTTAGCCAATAAGATTAAGGTTTCATAAGTGTACTAGCCTATGGCCAATGACTAAAACATCTTACCATATAGATTTGAGTGAAAATAAAATAGCAGTCCTGTTTATGCTAGGGTTGTCATTCGTCATACAATGAGTGGATATTTATTAAGTTAAGTGTTGCAGAGATAAGGATGCTCAGGTGGATGAGTGGCTTTACTCTTAGAGATAGAATGCATAACGAGAATACACGTGAAAAGGTTGGAGTAGCTCCAGTGGAAGATAAGATTAGAGAGAGTCATCTTAGATGGTTTGGTCACATAAAATGGCGGCCTTCCGAAGACCCGATTAGAAAAGTAGATGCATTAGATTTAGCTTATGTTAAAAAAAGGTAGAGGTAGACCTAAAATGACTTTGTTAGAAAATATTAAAAATGATATCTTTTATTAGATTTTAATGAAAATTTGACTCTTAATAGGACATAATTGAGAAAAAGTATTCATATAGCCGACCCCACGTAGTGGGTTAAAGGGTTGACGTTGTTGTTGTTGTTGTATTAATAGCAACTTCTGTCCTTATTTATGTGTTTAGTTTTCTTGAGAAAATATTAGAATTATCATTTTCTTTAGGAGTATTCTATTACTAGGATTTGTCTCTTCTTTAGGACTGATGTAGTTTTAAATTTGAATTAGTTTGAATTGTTCATAGAATCAAGCCATGTATTTCATTATCCTATCTTGAATAAAATTTGTATGAAATTCTCTTTTCTCTCCCAATTCTCAGTTCTCTCCCCCTGCAGCTCTATCTCTTATTTATTCTCAAGTCCCAAGAACTTTGCCTTATGTTATTCATCCTCTTGGTATATATCTTAAGGTGTTGCAACTGATGTAGGACTAATTATGTTTTAGATGAATGCGATAAGAACTTGCACATTTTGAATAAGAGCAATTAATAATTATGAACGTTAGCCACTAAATGATAATAGAAAACTAAAGAGTGTTGGCTACGCTTAGGCTAAATCACATACTAAGAACTAGAATCACCAAGTAATTTAGAATTTCAACCGAATGCAAATTAAGTAGTTATTCAATAAAATTCCTAAGCTAACATTGAGATTATAAACATAGAAAATAAAAACTTAAATCTTACGTTTACTAAGCAAAGGCAGAGAGCTTGGTACGAGTCCTTGTGCTTGAATCACAACCTACAAGAGCAGAGGATTAGAAGATAATTTGAATAGAGGAAAAGTTCACCCTTGTCGAGGACCGGAAATAATTTGCCACTGAACGTTGGCAAGTTACTCTTTGATTTCTTCGGACAAGGTGAAGATGATTCGATCCAGGGATTTGTCAGCGGAAGTATCAATCTCCGGGTAGATGTCGAAGAATGTTGACAGGAGAATGTCGACGTGTCCTTGCTCGTTGTAGACTAATCCGAAGTCAAGATCGGGATCGGCCATTCATCGATTCTATAGGGTTGAAGTGTTTGAAGTGTTGGAGACAATGGTCTTTGTTTCCTTCAAAGACTCCTCTTTAAATAAAGAAGTTTCTCTCAAGGGTTTAAGTGGACGAGAGGGAGGGAGGTGACCGACCTGATAAAGGAGGCTAAGGGAAGAAATAGGTTCAAATTTTAGGAGGCAGGTTGGAGGGAAATTAGGGATTTATTTCCTCTAATTAATTCTCAAATTTGAAAAGAATTAAAAGAGGCGAGTGGGCGGGGGGCGTGGGGCGGGCGGCGACATAGAGAGAAAGGGGGCCAGTGGGTTTAATAGGGGAGAGGGATTAGGGAGAAGCATTTAAAGGTTGCTTGTTTTGGATTTGGATATTTTGGAAGGTTTAATTAAATCCATTTGAATCTAAATTCAAATAGGATTTAATTTTGGAAACTTTCCAAAAATAGGATTTCGTAATTTAGGAAACAATTCAAGTTAAATTTGAATATTAATTAAGTAGGTTTCATATCTTAGAAAAACCAAATTGGAAAGGCTTAAATACAAGCCTTGATGGGGAATTCCCAAGGGAGGCCGGCGGCTTGGGTGGCTTAACCACCAGTTTTGGGTGAAGGGAGGTGGGCTCAGGTGGTGGGGTGGAGAGCTATGGGCTAGCCCAAAGCTAAGGGGAGGAGGGCTTGTAGTTGACCAGAGGTGGGAGGTTTAAGAGGTGGTCGGCGATTTAGGGTTGTACGTGGGTCAAGAGATGGAAAGGGGCGAGGGGAAAGGAGGAAGAAAAGAGACACGAAGAATTAGCCACGAGCCCGGACTCTTCCAATGCTGGTGGGTGATCCGCTTCCCTCTCCAAAACCTCTCAAGCTCTCACAAGAACTCAAAATGCAGAATTTTTTTTTTATTCAATCATTATCCTTCAAAAGAAAATATAAGGGCTATATATAGCCTCATACAATGAACGAGAAACTAAAAAGACGACTTAGCCCTTTGGGCTTACAAATGACCACCCTTAAAGCAAGGGGTAGAAAGGAAAAAAACAACTAAAACAAATAAATTAAAAAAACAAGTACATATGAGGACTTAAAAATATAACGGCGCGATCGTTCCGGTAGATCGGCGACCACGCCTCTGATAAACTTTTCATGCTCTGATGTCCCCATCAGCAACCCTCCTCTTATTAGGGGTCCCCCACAAGATGATCTCCTTACCATCATTATCTCTAAAAGCCTGATTCCCTCATCTCTCTCTCTATTAAAAATGAATTCAAGGAATTATCAACCAATTCATAGACAAGTTTGATACAGGAAGGAAGAAAAGGATTAATGAAATCATCATCAAAGGGTCCCATAATTAGTCTTGTATCTAGCACATCAAAGTGGTATTAGAGTACATCAGCATTAGGTCTCAACTATCGTATATGGTGTTGAGATCATAATGAGACGCTTGTAATAGAAGCGGTAAATTAAGCAAAATTTACAAGTACTGCAATATAGGTCGTCATTGTAAGCTCATGTATCCTATTTACGCACAGTAATTTTTATCAAAAAATCAGCATGAAACTTATGCCGTTAATAAATTAAAATGCTACGTATAATCAGTTATGCATGGATGGTGCCATTAACTCTAAAGGATGCTTAATGGTCGACTAGTAATAACTTCATGATGTCTAGTTTTTCTTTTTTACTTCGTATGTTTTTTTTTTCCCCTGAGAAATTAATTTGAAGCATTTCTATGATGCGATTCCACTTCAATCCAGGCAAAAAATTTCATTACATCTGCTGTAATATTCATTACTTTATCTTTAAATTGTATTTTGTATTTGCACTTCAATATTACTGTAAATCTCAAATTCTACTGCTCATTGCTGAAGCCTTTAATCACCTGTATTTTCTGCTGAACCAGTATATTTTCTGTAGTTATCTTCTCTAGATGGATTCTAGCTCTGATGAAACTTCCGAAATTAGTGACTCAGAGATTGATGATTATGAGGCTAAAACTTATGTCCAACTGAAGACAGAAAAGCTCAAAGTAAAAGTCTCAGATGGAAGCTATAGATGCCCATTTTGTTTGGGAAAGAAAAGACAAGATTACCTATATAAGGATCTCCTTCAACATGCATCAGGAATTAGCACTTCCAACAGGAAGGCGAAGGTGAAGGCAAATCACCAGGCCCTTGTAAAATTCTTGAAGAATGATCTTGCTAACACTTCAAATTCATCACCGCAGTTAATGATTGTTAAACAGGGTCCTTCTAAAGCTAAACAACCTGATCAATTTGTTTGGCCATGGATGGGCATTGTTGTAAATATTCCAACAGAATTTAGGAATGGAAAGTATGTTGGCGAAAGTGGAAATAGGCTTAAGGGGCAGCTATCTAGATTTAATCCCTTGAAAGTCCATGCTTTATGGAATTTCAAGGGCTTTACCGGAAATGCGGTTGTGGATTTTAGCAAAGACTGGACAGGATTTAAGAATGCAATGGCATTTGAGAATCATTTTGATGCTGATCATTTTGGTAAAAGGGACTGGGTTGAAAAAGACAATCATGGTCCAGGAATATATGGATGGGTAGCTCGTGCTGATGACTACAATTCAGGTGGGCCCGTTGGGGATCATCTTAGAAAAAATGGAGATTTGAAGACAGTGGGTGATATAACAGAAGAAGAATCACGCAAGACAAGCAAACTTGTCCAAGATTTGGCAACGCGGATTGAAGTCAAGAAGAAGCACATTGAGGAACTTGAGGGCAAATACAATGAGACTACTTTATCACTGGATAAGATGATGGAAGAAAGGGATAAGCTGCATGAATCTTATAACAGCGGTGTGTTTCATTAAATGAACTTACCCTTCTACACATGCATTGTTGTGGACTGATGCCAACTTTTAGAAGTATCCACCCTACAATTGATCTGGATAGCTATACATTTTGTCTGACTAATATGATATATCACTTGATTTCTTTTCCTGACAAAATTAGGAAGTAACTGGGGGCATTCGCATTTCTGCCTTTAGACGTAGGTCTTGCTCTCTTTTACTTGGGCAAAATTCTAGATTCTCTTTTTCTGCTTGTCTAAATGCGAATTTAACTCTATTTATTTTCTGGCATTAGACGGTCTAGCTCTCTTTTACTTGGGCAATATTCTAAGTTTCTCTTTTCTGCCTGTCTTAATGCAACTTATAGTTGCCTTTGCTGCGATTTAGTATGTTTGGATGGATAGAATTGTAGCTTTGATTTAGATTACCATACTATTGCTCAGCCATTCCTCATTAGCTACTTGCTGATTTTACATTTACTCCCCAATTACTCTTATTCGAATATAATAGTTTACTCTAATTTTCTCTAATTCTTGTCTGCTAAGTAGTGGAACACACACTTACTTTCCTTTTTGTTGGTATCAAAAAGGAGATTATTATTGAACTCCTTTTCTAAGGTTCTGTTATCAAGGAATCCTTATTCCCTGGTTTTGCACATCTTCCTCTAATATCGATTTTCACCAAATTAGTATCAGAGAGGAGAAAATAGAGGGTAGTTTAAGCTCAGTGCGTGTCAACGTATGCAAGTTGCCCTCGACTGAAAATTAGGTCTTGCTGGTGAGTTCCAAAAATCTATGGTTGAAATGTGGCTCAAACTTCACGTCTTCGAAAACAACAACTCCAGCCCTCTTGCAATCACACTAGCAAATCTGGCAACCATATCAGAGATATTTATACCACTACATAGAAACCAAAAGCATCCCCAATAGTTGGATGCACTACACATTCCAAATTTTTTGAAGCCAATGGGGATCAATTTCCTCGACAGTAGAATAGCAATATCTGCCCTAACTCTAAATCTGAGGATGAGTCCCTACTTTTGGAGCAAGCAACCTGAGGGCAATTTCAACATGAGCGGAACTATAATGATTTCAAGGAGAAACTGAACTTTCCCTTCTTTAATGGTCATATTCACATAAAGGATTAACTTGGGAGCAATCCATCAAGTCATTCTTCAAATACATGGATGTACATCCAAAGAGGCAAGTCTCATGTACGTCTTTTGCACCCCTGAATGACCCAAACAGCGCTTCGATGGAACTCCTGGAGCAGGTGTGGAATATGGACTGATGTCTTAGGCGTCACAAATCTCCCCTGGTACAATAGCATCTCCCTTCTTTAATGGTCATATTCACATAAAGGATTAACTTGGGAGTAATCCATCAAGTCATTCTTCAAATACATGGATGTACATCCAAAGAGGCAAGTCTCATGTACGTCTTTTGCACCCCTGAATGACCCCAACAGCGCTCCGATGGAACTACTGGAGCAGGTGTGGAATATGGACTGATGTCCTAGGCATCACAAATCTCCCCTGGTACAATAGCATCTCCCCTTCTAGAGAATACCCTCCCCCCTTCCCTTCTTCTAGAGAATACCCGAGGTGGCTACTCTCCTCCTTCAATAAATCAACCCTAATCCTTCCCAACTCCTCATCGTGCACACTCTCTTCCTTAATGACCTCCCAATCCAACATCAATGGGATCGCGCACTGCTATCGCCTATAACCCCCCATACATCTGGAAAATACATCTGTCGCCTTGTTCTCCATTCCTTGCCTAAACTGGATTTCAAAATCATACCCCAACAACTTTAACAGCCGTCTCTGGTGCTCCTGAGTTACCATCCTCTTCTCGAACAAGTACTTCAGACTCCGTTGATTTGTCCTGATGATGAAATGCCGGCCTAGCAAGTAGGGTCGCCACTTTTGGATGGCTAACACAATGGTCATTAGTTCCCTCTCATTGAATAATTTCAGCCAGGCTCTGGCTGTCAATACCCAGCTTAAATAGGCGATGGGTTGACAACTCTGCATGAGTACTGCTCCCAATCCATAAACCTGAGGCATATGTCTTCACTATGAAGACCTGAGTGAAGTCTGGTAGGTATAAATCCGGTACAGTGGTCATGACCTTCTTCAAGCTCTCAAAAGCTGTTGTGGCCGCCTCCCCCCATAAGAAACCATCCTTCTTAAACTATTCCATCAGTGGCCATGCGATGGTGTTGTACTCCTTCACAAACCTCATGTAATATCCTATCAGTCCTACGAATCACCTCAACTCCCTAAGATTCTTGGGAACCGACAATCATAACATAGCTTCAATTTTAGCGTAATCTGCCTCCACCCCTCATTAGAGATGATATGCCCCAAGTACTCTACATTGTCTTGGGCAAAATAACATTTCTTCAGATTGTCCCTCAGTTGGTGTTCTTGGAACACCTCTAACACCCTCCTAAAGTGCTCTCAGTGCTCCTCCTCTGACCTGCTGTAAATCAATATATCATCAAAAAACACCAACCAAATCGCCTAAGACGGGGTCTGAAGACCATGAGAAACTAGAAAGTGGCTAGGGCATTAGTGAGGCCAAAAGACATCACTAGAAACTCATAATACCCTTCATGAGTTTTGAAAGCAGTCTTTGGCACATCCTCCCTCTTCATCCTGATCTGATGGTATCCTGACTTCAAATCTATCGTGGTGAAGATAGTTGTCTCACTCAACTCATCCAAAAACTCATCTATCACTGAAATGAGAAACTTGTCTGGTATAGTTTCCTTATTCAGTGTCCTGTAATCTACACAAAACTTCCAACTCCCATCTTTCTTTCTAACCAATAACATGGCTAAAAAAGGGCTAACATTGGGCTTGATAGTCCGTGCTTCTAGCATATCTCTAATCAACTTCTCAATCTCATCCTTTTGAAATTGAGGATAGCGATAGGGCCAGACATTGATGGGTAACACTCCTTTCAAGGTGATAGCATGCTCCTACTCCCTTGGTGGTGGCAATCCCTGAGGTGGCTGAAAAACCTTATTGAACTGCTGAATCAATGAATGGACTGAAAGAGGAACTTCCCCTCCCTCCTCCAATCTGATCCCCACCAGCCAGTGCAGTTCTACCAGATAACCTTCCCCCACCTCTTGTATACTCCTCAGCATAGTTTTAAGTGATATCATGGGCTTAGAGAGCCCTCCAACACCCCTTATCACTACTCTTCTCCCCTCCACCACCAGCTCCATCATCAATGCCCTCTAGTTAATCTTGGTGTCTCCCTAATTCTGCTGTCACTTCATCTCCAGGATGACATCAGTGCTCTCTAACTTTAATGGGAAAAAATTATCCTCATCTGAACCCCCTGTATGATCAACACTACTCTTCTACAGATCCTCTTGCACATCTCCACCTTCCTTGTTCCCATCACTCCATAATATCTTGTATCCACCAATTTCACCCTCAATTGGTTCATAACCTGGTTGGAGATGAAATTGTGGGTAGCTCCACTGTTTAATCAACACCACCACCTTCATGTCTTCTATTTATCCTTTCACTTTCATGGTATGTTTCAGAGTGAATCCTACCATTGAGTTCAGGGATACCTCCACCACATCCAGATGCGGCTTGTCCTCCATCTCTCCTTCTACCTCACTCTCACCTCTTTCCTCAGCTTCCTTGTCATCACAGACGGTGAGAACCTGAAGAGTTCGGTTCTTGCACCTATGCCCTGGAGTATACTTCTCATCACACTTAAAACATAGTCTCTTTGCCCTCTTCTCCTTCATCTCCCTCTCCTTCACTGTTTTGAAGTTGTGTACACTTCCTCCTACTGGCTTCTCCCTGGGAGTCTCATGAAGATTTCCTGCTGCATGACCCTTGGGTGCTAAAAGGGTGTTAGTCATCTTGTAAGAACCACCTGAACTGCTGCCCCTGGCTCCCATCTTTTGGTACTTCTGACCCTCTACTAGCTATGCCATCTCCATTGCTCTCCCAAGTCACAAGGCCTCATGGCCCTTACTGCGGTTCTGATCTCTTATTTGAGTCCCTTCATGAAATTACCCTCCAAAGTAGTCTCTGATAGTCGCTCCACTCGACTAGCCAAGTGTTCAAATCTCTCATGATAATTTGTCATTGATCCTTCTTGCACTAGTACAAAGATCTGTTTATAGAAATCCCCTACCCTGCTGGCTCGAAAACGTACTAATAAGCAGTCCTTGAACTCCCTCTAACTCCGTATTGGCCTCCTCATGTCGCTCCACTGGTACCACGACAACGCCTTTCCCCCCAAACATAAACCCGTTGTCATCAATTTTTTCGCCTTCGTCAACCCATTAATGGTAAAATACCTCTCCATCTTATAAAACAACCCGTGTGAGTTCTATCCTTCAAAAATGGACATTTTTAGCTTCCGCACCTTCGGATCTCCTTCGTTTCCATGTATTCCATCATATTTTCCTCTTTCCCAAAGTTTTTGGCTCTCCTAAAGTCTCCCGATCTTCCCTTCCATGCTCATACCCAAACCCCTCTTTGCCTTCTCCCCTCTTTTCTTCAAAATCAGCACCCTTCCTACCATAATCCCCTTCTCTTCTCTCTCAACCAACACCCCTTAGTTCATGCCACTCATAACCACGCCTCTCTCCATACCTTCCCCCTTTCTCCTCCTCCATGATTTCCACATCATTGTCCCTCTTACGAAATTCAGAATTCTGGTCCTTTTGTCTCTGATGCCGCCATTTGAATTTGATTCTCTAATATCTTCTTCACCATCTCATGAAGATCAGAAACTGTCTTCCACGGATGAAATTCGATCATCCATCGTTGCTTTTATTTGGTTCATCTCCCCTTCAAGGCGTCCCTCCAACGCATCTTCCTTCTTGGCCGCCATTAATACCCAGATTTTTGTAGTTTCAAAAAAACCTGGATATTGACCCAAAAAAACATCAAAGATCTCTTCCTTCGGCCAAAAAACGGCGGCCAATTTTCCAGAAAAAAGCCCACAAATGGTCTCAAAA